GGTCTCTTAGGATCATCCACAGGTACCTATACTGTAGATAGGTCTTAGTCATCAGGTCTACTCCACTTCCTTGTTGCCTGCTTAGACTCTTGGCACTCTTAGGTGAGCAGACTTAGTCAGCCTGTGTTGCCCTAACATCTGGCATCAGCCAGTGCTGTGATGCTGTGAGTGTCATTCTTTGGTGTGGAGTTGGTACACACCTTCCTTATGGATCTGTGTAGCTGGCAAGCAATGTCATACAAGATGCCAACAGTTGCTGCAGCAGGAAGCTGATCCATGACCTTTTGCACCAAGGCAACAGTATAGAAATGTTTCTCTCCTGTGTCTACCAAATTTGTCAAGTACAGTGGCACATCATGGCAACAAACAATTGCAATGATGCTGTGGACACAATATTGGCTTGAGTTCACATGTCTTCTTTCCAGGTTAGCAGCTTTAAAAGATGCCTCACAGAAATCAAACACCACGTCTTCCTCAGATGCAGTTGGGCAAGATGGAGCACCAGGTCCTCCAGTGGCTGCAGCAGCAGTGGGTGACAATCTGCCCCTCACAGCTGCCCCTCACAAACCTACAGCAGACTGGCCTTGCAGCTCCTGCACATGGGATTGTGCTGCAGCTACCTCTCCCTCACTCAAGAAGAATTCAGAGGGGATAATGGCTGGGTCTTGGGCTATCTGAGCCATTTGACAGTGTCCAAATTGGGCATCAATATGGATGTTGGGGTTACTATACATACATAAGGTGAATGCACTGGCAGTAAGATATGAATGCTTACCTCTCTATATCTCCCCCCCACATTGATCGACAAAAACAAAGTGGGCAGAGAGCCTCTAGCTACAATAGCTGCCCATGACCATGTGGCACTGCAGCGAGTGAGGTATGATGAATCTGTTGGATTGTCTGCTGCTGCTGCAAACATGACAGCATGTCAAACCAAAGAATGGCCTCAGGAAACTGTTTTTCAAATGGTTTCAGGATGCAAGTTCAGTGGTGGTACAGCTGTGGACATGTGTTACGTGCCTTGTTTTGGATCTGGTACCCCTGAAGGCACAGTGTTGCAACAACTCCTTTGCACCAGCCAGAAAGAGACTGTGTTTGATGGTTGTTCTGGGACAAGAAAAAATCCAGCACAAGAACAGAAATGGCCAAGCATGGATGGAGCAGAGATGATAGGAAGTAGCCACAGAGGAGCAGTAGCTGGTGCAGCCATGGATAGCACATTTCTTGAGTACAGTGATAGATCATTACAGTTTGCACAACTAATGCCATTATCAGGGGGGAACTTGCTGCAGGAGTGGAAACGCACAAGACATGTCCAGTAGCTCAATTACTTGTGTGGAAATTTGAGGAGTTGAACATATACAATGACTTTTTTCTGCAGTTGTGGGAAGATGCTGCATCATCCACTGCAGGAGCCTCAGGCGGAACTCCATCAGTGGTTCTACCAAGGAGGGTATGAGAGCAGACCATGCAGTCCACCATTTGCTACACTTAGCTGCTCCTGAGACCACAGCTTTGACTCTTGATATATTACTTGATGCATTGCTCTCATTGTCAGTTTGCATGCAATGCCGGCATTTCTTTGGGGTGGTTTGGTGAGGGGATGCAAGGAATGGATCATTGGGTATCAGTGAGAAGAGGAGATCATGCAAGACAGATGGCATGAAAGCTGCATTGGCTGCAGCAGTAGGCCTAGGTGTGGGTGTGCCGTCTGAAGCTGTTCCTGTACTCTGTGGAGTAGCCATGGCAGTTGAACCCATCAGGGGGGCTGCTACCACACCCAAGTCAGCCAACTGATATCAGCAGAAATATGAGGATATACACTAACCAGGACCTCCTCTAGCAATGCATGTCATCTGTTGGTGCAGAGTTTGAGGGAGTGCTGATTCCAAAGGGGAGTTGCAGTGACTGGTATGTTCATGCTGAAGCACATCAACCATAGCAGCAGCAGTGTGTGCTGCTTCAGCGACCCTCTTTGATTGGCTGGGCCAGTGTTGTGGTTGTTGGGTCATAGAAGGGGTGGTCAAAAAGGACAGAAAATGATGGTTGGCAGTAGGGGGTATAGGAGGTATTGCATGGCCCCTCTTGCTCCAGTGGTTCATGGTGGTGGATGGGGCACAGAAGACATGAAGGGAATGCACCCTGCACTGCAGCTTCCATTTTTTTCTCACCTGGCATGTGAGCGCATGACTGAGATGCACCATGGTGTTTTTGTACACACACTGCAACACTGCACACCAGCTGTTGCCTAGGTGCAGTGGCAGCATGCACAGGGAAGCAAAATGAAGCACAGAGAGTTTCAGCATTCATTGATCAGTGCCCATGCAGATCTCTTGCATGGGCATGTGGCATACAGCAAGCCAAACAGAGAGTTCTGCAGTATGGGTGTGGAACACAAACTGATTCCAGCCATTTCAGCGCATGCTGCAGCTCCTCCAGCATTGAAAGATGATGCTACAGTGCACAGCAGGACTGTTGTATGCAGCATCATGGGCAGCCATTTCCAAGCGTTTGATGGAGTGGATGTAGATGTTGCATCCAGCAGCAATGGGACTTCAATGAGTGTTCCTCCCATGCTGTTCAATGTACGGGGAGCACAATGTTGCTGCTGCAACTGCTGCAACTCCAAGGGTGAGGTAAATTACATGGAGGCTGGAGGAGACTGTCTGGGGAATATAATCTCAATGTTGACCCAAGCCCTATTTCACCTATGTACCATATGGTCCTGCAGCCTACATACAACATGTGATGGTGCTTAGCTGGATTTTGCAAGTCCAAATAAAAGAAAATAAGTCATAAAGTTGGCAAGTTTGTATCCATGTCAGTTCGATGGCTACAAAGTCCCAGTTGTGGCTGCAGCCATACTGTGGGTGTATGGTGTATGGTGTATGGTGCTGCAGTTGGGGTGCCAGAACTGCTGCTGCTGTGGAGCTTGCTGCCTACCCAGTATGGTAATGCAGCAACAGCCATTACTGGCCAACATAAATGGCACATGGCTAAGGTGGAGCATGAAGAATTGGAGGCCTGCACATCCCACAGGGTGGTTGCAGCCCTCCAGTGGGTGATGGTGCATCCTGCTGCAGCTGAGATGGCAGACAAGCAGCTGCAACACATGTTCCTGCCTGGCTACCACTGTATTATAGCAACAGCCACTACTGGTGTACACAAATGGAGCATGGCTAGTGTGGACAAACAACAATTGGAGGGCCACCCATCCCCAGAGGGGGCTGCAGCCTTTTTGTTTCATAGCCTGAATCATGCTGCAGCCTATCAGCCAGGTGAGCTTTGTTTGCAGGCTGCAGCATGCTGCAGCCCATCTGCAATATGTGTAGCTGCCACATTGAGTGCTGCTTACCTGGGATTGCATTTGACTGAGAGCTGCAGCTGTGAAACACACATGGATCAGGCTGGGCTTCAGAAATTGGGGTTGCAGAGCCATCCATCCCTCACAGGGGCTGCTGCCACATTTTGTTCACATGCTGCAGCATAGTGCAGCCCACCCATGATATGCATAGCTGCCACATTGAGTCTGGCTAGCCCAGTACAGTATTCCACAGCAAGCTGCAGGTGTGATGCAGAACTGCAGAGCCATCCATCCCCCATGGGGGTGCAGCTGCATTTGTTTCTCATGCTGCAGCACAGCTGTCTTATGCATAGCTGCCACATTGGGTGCTGCTCCCCAGGTATTGTATGTCACTGGAACCTGCAGTTGTGAAGCACACATGGTTGAGGCAGGGCTTGAGAAGGAAGGCTTGCAGAGCCAGCCATTGCCCATGGAGGGTCCAGCCACAATTTGTTCACCTGCTGCAGCATGCTGCAGCCCAGCTGTGATATGCATAGCTGCTGCACTGGGTGGTCCTTGCCAGGTATTGTATTTCACTGGACCTACAGCTGTGAAACACACATGGATCAGCTTGAGCTTGACAAGTCAGGCTTGCAGAGCCATCCATCCCCCAAGGGGGCTGCAGCCCAATTTTATTTGCATGCTGCAGCCCAGCTGTGATATGCATAGCTGCTGCATTGCGTCTGGCTGGCCCAGTGCAGTATGTCACTGAGATCTGCAGGTGTGAACCAGAAGTTGAGTAGGCAGAGCTTGAGAAGTCCAGCTTGCAGAGCCATGCATCCCCCAAGGGGGCTGCAGCTGTATTTTGTTTGTTTACTGCAACATGCTGCAGCCCAGCTGTAATATGCTTAGCTGCCACATTGGGTGCTGCTCCCCAGGTATTGTATTTCACTGGAACCTGCAGTGAAACACACCTGGGTTAGGCAGGGCTTGAGATGGCAGACTTGCAGAGCCAGCCATTGCCCAAGGTGGCTGCACCCATATTTCATTCACATCCTGCATCCTGCTGCAGCTGACCTGCCATATGTGTAGCTGCTCCACTTCTTTCTGCAGGGCCAGTGCAGCATGGACATTGTAGCCAGTGCTGTGTACTACATAGCCAGTATTTATGTCTCACACCTGTAGGGTGATCCATCCCCCAACATGGCTGCAGCAGTATCTCATTGTGTGCTGCATCATCCTGCCAGTGAGCTGCAGCAGAGAACCCTGTGGTACAGTTCCATGCTTGCCTAATACTCCTTCACAACAGTAGCCAAAGCATGACATGCCTTCAAAGTAATGGGTTAGTCTAGAAGCCAATAGCATGTCTACACATTCCTGTTCATAGCTGCAGCTGTATTCAGTGCACATGATCAGGTGCTGCAACACCTGTGTTTTGGTTGCTGCAGCACGCTCCTACAAGGGTCCATGGAAGCAATTTATGAGCAGTTTCCGTGGACCCTGACACATAAAATGCTTCCACTCCCGTGGCAGTGCGCTTCCACAGCATTTGTCATCCACTGCTGCAGCAGTTGTCGCAAATCTAGTGCATTCCCTCTGGTTGTGCTGCAGGTCCGGGAACCTTCGTATACATGTACACATGCCTCGAACATGTCTTAAACGCCTGCTACAGTATGTGTACATGATCCCCTCATCCCTGACATGCAACGTTTGCTGTTTTCACGCATGAGCCAGCATGACCGCTGCAACATTGGCTGCAGCATACCCCTCCGCCGTGTTTTGGGCATGCGAGAAAAAGGGTCCTAATGGACCCTGTTAAAAGTTAGGGGGGTCTGGTGGTGATTCCTCCGAATAATCACGTGCTCCCCACGTATATTCCTCCCAATCAGTGACAACCCATGCTGGACGACCCTTCGGAGAGCATATAACAGCATGCACAGAAGAGGGAGGACTTCATATGAGGACAGGAGTCAGGATTATCTATTTGTTGTGTAAAGTGTACGTCATTTTATGGTCAGGTTTCAAGGGATATCTAGTGGCGGTGCTAGCATTCCTGAAATGGAAGGCATTTGGCGACGTTATAGTGTATCGTCACCGTCAACCAACGACACGATGGTTGCTATCAACCCCGTAAGGATACACCATTAATCCCACTTTATTTCTTACTGAACATGTACAGAATCACCACCCCTCCCTTTCAGAGGACTACGAGCCGGGCTCAACCTCCTCAACAGCACACGACTGGTCACTCCCCATCCGCATACAAGGCGCACACTTCGTCGACCCCTACAACCGTGTTCTCAACCTACGGGGTGTCAACCTCTCCGGCGCTTCTAAAACGTTTGTGCTCTCTCAACTACTATGTATCAGCTCCTGACGGAAGGCAGGCCTGGGGATCACGACCCCGCCCACTTCCTGGATGAGAACCACTGGAGAGGAGTGAGCTTTGTCGGAAGACCCTTTCCTCTCGAACAGGCGGATGAGCATCTCGCGAGATTGAGACGGTGGGGGCTGACGTTTGGTGTGTTCCCCCTTTCTACCAAGACTAGGCTGACCAGCGTAGTGAGGCTCAACGTGACATGGGAAGCGATCGAGCACTCTGCTCCGTGCGTCCCCACTCCCTCCGTCTGATGTATCGCTCTAACACATAGCAGAGGAGAATATGACCATGACTATCTGACATACCTTTATTCCCTCCTCTCAAAGTTCCCCGCCTACGGGCTCGTGGCCTTTGTCTCGATGCACCAGGATGTCTTTTCCCGCTTTTCCGGCGGCTCAGGAGCCCCAGCATGGACGCTTACGAGCGTAGGGTTAGATTTGGACGCACTAGAGGAAACGGGGGCAGCGTATTTGGAAGGTGTGAGGCATCCGGGCAAGTCGGAGGAGGATAGAGGTACTTGGCCTACGGGGTATCAGAAGCTTGCGGCGGCGACAATGAAGTACGTTTTCTCATACCTCACACCTTCTCTACCGGTGCTTAAGCAGAGACCAGCACCCTCTTCTGGGCTGGTGATACCTTCGCTTCGAAGCTGAAAGTCCAGTGGCAAGGAAAGGAGGTAGGCGCACAACAGTTCCTCCAAGACAGGTTTCTCGCTGCCTGGGAAGTGCTCGTCCAACGACTCGCTCCCCTCCCCGCCGTGGTCGGGTTCCAAGTATATGCATCCCTCCTTCCATTCCAGGAAGTCTACTAATACGTACACAGATGATGAACGAGCCCCACAGCGGGTACGTGGAGAACCACATACATACATGGGACTACAACACCGACCTACACCTGTGGGCGTTCCCCACCCCTCTCCAGTCAATGGCGCTAGGCGCCGGCCACCCCCAGCGGGTAGCATACTACACCCGTTCCTTCCCTTTCCCCACCCGGCAGAGCGGGTCGAAGCTTATCAATCCGAAGGGGAGGAAATGTTGGCGCGAGGATGGGCCGACGGAGGGCAGGTGTGTGTGGGAGATGCACGGTGTCTGGGGCTGGGAGCGAGGGAGGGGGGAAGCAGTTGCATTAAGGGAAAACTATTTCATGTGGCATCCGACTACTGATAAAATGGTCGGTCTTCTCTCCGTTTCCGCCACTTTGTTGCGAGTACTGACGGGGGCTGAATGGCGCAGGTGGAGTGGTACGAAGATTTCTACTTCCCGTTTGCGAAGCGCTGGTCGGAGAGGATGCACGCCCTTTCCGGAGGGGAGAAGCTCATATTCCTCGAGCCGATACCTAACGAGGTGCGTCCCCCCATCCTATCCTCCCACCGTTCTACAACCCCTCCAACTCGAACAGTATGCTCAACTGATGGTCATAGTTCTGCCCTCCCTGGCCGGAAGAGTTCAGGCCCAAAAACTTTGTCTACGCACCACATTGGTACGACCTTAATGCGCTCTTCAAAAAACAATTCGGGAACGTGAGCGTAAACGTGCAAGGCTTATCCCGGGTTCGTTCCCTCCTCCACCCCCTACATGCCGCTGACTCTTTTGAAGGGGATGTTCCTCCTCAAAGCTCTTTACTGGGGGGACAAAGGCGCGAAAGAGAACTATGCTATGCAGCTCCGGAATGTCGTCGATTCTGTCTCTGCTGCTGGGGAACGGCCTGTGGTGGTGGGCGAGTGTGGGGTACCCATGGATATGAAGTGCGTCTTTCTTCGTATTTGGCTTCTTGCTTCACGAGGTCTGTTGTTTGATTGTTGGATAGATTTGCGGTCGTTCTGTGCTTCCGAACTTTCGTTGTTCCCTTGTCCGATACGTCCGCATAACCCACATGTTTCACATCTATCTCTTTGTTCAGCTAAACAAATGCTAACAAGAGTCACAGCAACGCTCATGCGTTCAAAACCGGCGACTTCACCTGGCAATCCCGGATGCTCGATGCCCTCATCTCAGGGCTGGACAGCGCCCGAGCGAGCTTTACGTACGTGCCTTTCCTGTCCTTCCACTTCCCACCGCCTTCCTTCCCATGTCGATGCGAGAGCTAACCCCTGGCAGGCTATGGAACTACAATCCCGGAAACACGGACGCCCAGGGTGATAGGTGGAACGGAGAGAACTTCTCCTTCTACACTCTTTCCGCCCGCGCTCTCTCTTCTTCCTCCGAATTCAAGGATTCAGCGCTAGCGCAGACCAATCCCGAACTAGACGACGGCGGACGGGTGCTGTCCTCACTCGTCAGGCCCTACCCGGCCAAAGTCGCCGGAATCCCTCTGTCGTACAGCTATTCCACCAGCACGGGAGTGTTCGAGCTCACGTACGCCTCGCCTGCGCATGCGGGCGCGGAGCTGGATCTGGGACGTGGGAGGGACGGATGGGTACCGCTCGATCACCCCGCAATAATGGCACGGGAAACGGAGATATTCCTCCCTCTTCTCCTTACCCAAGGAAGGGAAGTGAAAGTCGAAGGAGCGTGGAAGTGGGTGTACAGCGAGGAGAGACAGACGCTGTATGTCCTCCAGGAGACTACGGGGGAGGCGAGGGCATGGAACGTCAAGGTTAGAGTGAGGCCCGCTTTGACAGTAAGGCAAGAGGGGGAGTGGACTTGGGTTTGGGCGCTGTTAGGCGTGCTGTTGGGAGTGGGTGTTTGGTTCCTTATCCGGTAGGTGGTCTGCACAGAGGTCGCGATAGAGCGGCGATTAGTCACGATATACGCGCACATTACATACAGTTTTGAGATGGTAGACTAAATTTTACATCACGACTTTTTTTTCGAAGAAGGAAAATAGACTCTACTGCATATACCTACCTTTTCATGAGGCCTAGCGCCGGACGGCAAATAGCTCACTCGACACCGTATTGGACTAATAAGAGTTCCCAACGACCTTTTCCCTCAATTCCCACGCCCAGGCTAACAACCCCTCCTGCCATCCTTTAACCCTGATGTTCCCCATCAGCCTCGTCGTTGCCCAAAAAGCCACAAGGCCGGCGGTGATGCCCAAAGAGAGGCAGAAGGTCACTGCGAGGGCTGCTAGGAGGAAAAGTGAGGCGAGGGAGAGGATGATACCGAGGATGAGAAGAGCGAAGAGGATTGATGTGGAGAGGAGGAAGCCCCCGGTGAGGAGGGCGAAGGAGGTGAAGAGGAGGACGGGGAGGAACGAGAGGATGCAGAAGATGCCGAGGAACACCTGGGATGGTTAGCATATATGACCAGTGCAGGGAGATAGGAACATACAGCGATCACAGGATGGCGTTCCCACATATAAGCAGCATACTCCCGGGTAGGCTTGAACACTCTGTCCTCTAGCCTGCGTCTTCGTCAGCTACACCCTGAAAGAAGCAGGAAATGCGAACTTGGAAGCGTGTGCCCTGACGTCATCTGCTGCTTGTTGGAACATGCCTTGGAGGTTGGACTGTGCTTGGTCCATGATGGCTGGTTTCTTTTCGTAGGAAGAGGAGGAATCCATGGCTGGTTGAGGTGGTGGTTGATTGTGATGTGGTGTTGACGTTGGGAGAAGACGGACGCAGGAAGGGACGTGCCGAACAAGAAGGTCGTGGCTGTGTGTGGAGGCATGTGAATGTCCTCACGTCACGTTCTTGTGGTTGTTTGACAGGCCAGCCTTCTGTGTGCTACGAGCATATTAATGGGAGTCTTTGTGCAGTTGATGTAGCTCGATAAGTTGCTCGCATTAATATTGTGAGACAGGAGGGTAAGGTCGTTGTCACTATCATTGTCGGCGTTGATGTCACAGAAACCAAGTTTTCTTCAAAGTCCGACACACACTAATCTAATTGCCGACATCATAACAAGACGGGGATCTGATCTGAGTTTCGTGACAGTTACTCTGCGGATGCGCAGAGTGCAGAGCGCAGAGCTTACATAATCCACAATATTTGCTCCCATGGCGGCCGAGCCAGTAATATCGCAGCCCAGTACCCGAAGGGCTATGATGATTAATATATTAATATTGTCTGTAACAATCATTAATATTGTTGCCCATCCATGCAATGCCTGCAAACTCCTCTTGCTTTATAAAATTTTGTCTCCTAATCTTATACCAAGGCATTATATATGTCAGTGCTAGCTTGGAAACACAGTTGACCTGCTGTGCCAACTCAAAACACCACTATAAACTAAAGCCTCTGCTTTAACCTCAATGCTTGTGCAGTTAGCAGCATATGCTCTCATTCACCCATTTATCCTTGGCAAAATGCAAGCACAGGCTGCTGTTTGGGTTCAACAAGCTGGAAAAGTCTTTTGATGATCTCCATCAATAAAGAAGCATGGTTGCCTGCTTTCCATAGTGTGGGGATCAGCACCACTCTTTTTTTTCTCCTTTTCTCCTTGTCATCTTCCTGCACCAGCTTCAGCATCTCTCATCCCATCCACACCAGCTTCAGCACCTTTTCCTGTTCTGCAGCAATGACACCCTGATCTATTGACTCAACCATTGCAGTGTCTGAGGTGGTTTGCATCATCCAGGACTGATTGCCTTCCAAGAACTTGAAGCTCCCAACAACTGTCTTCTGTGAACAATGCAGCAAGGGAACAACATATCCTTTCAAGGTCTGCATGAACTCCAAGAGTAACATCGAGGAGAACTATGGTCATGTGTACATGCTAGTCAGTGGCTTGAATAGTTACTACTCTATCTTGAGCTAACATTCTATATAGTGTCTCAATCACAAAAACCCTAACACCAGAAAGTTGAAGGGTAAACTTCTGTGGGTCACCAATCCACTGCACCCAGATGACTGCAAAGCACTTCGACACAGCATGACAGATACCTGTCCCAACTGGAGTTCCAGTCCACCACCCAATGATGTCCCACACAAGTGTGTATGCTTTGAAAAAGACTTGTTGGGCAAGCATTACCACAAGTGCAGGGCTTGTGGTAGTGGTAGGGGTTCCTCTGCATGCAAGAAGTCTTTTTGGTGCAAGAATGCTGTCAGTCATTGAAGATGTGCGATCAATGGGGAAAGGAGGTTGGCTGCTTGTCACATGGGTGGCTGATAGGCTTGGAGAGTGTAACCGGTGATCAAGAGGAGACAGACAAGGAGTTGAGTGATGGAGAGCACTTCTCAGGGACACAAGGGCAGGACTCATGCCTCACTCCCCAAAATACACAAGCTTCTCATGGTACCTCAAGCATTGGCTGATGTCCCTGGGATGGCTACATGGAATGGCAGGAGATGCAACAAAAGGCTCAGGAATCCCAAAAGAAGGCAGCATGCAAACAAGCAGAGCTGGTAGCTTGTTTATTCACATTGGTGTTATTCAAGGTAAGCATTATCCCTTTCCTTTACTTATTTAGGTGCTAAAACAAGTTCCTAGCCTGATTCCAAGAAGATGATTTATAAGGTCTCTACTGAGGAGGCTGATATGGGTGTACTTGTTACTTGCATCCATAGCTGGCCTGAGTGTGTCTTGAACCACATCTTCCCGAATGGCAATGACCTGGAGGATGAAGTTCTCTTCTTTGACCCAAGTATGAACAGTTGGGCATCATACAACTGTATGCTGTATTGAACAGTTCAGCATGACAAGAAACTTCTTTGCCATCTCCTGGGCATGCTGGCAGACTTGCCTGAGGTCCAGGAAGAGGTCAGAGACCTCATTCTTCCGACTTTCCATGATCAAAGGTGAAGAGCTGCCCTTCTCAACCCCTTGCCTCTGATAACACTGCAACTGCCCATCTCCTCTGCACATCTACCACAACATCAGCAGATGCAGCACCAGCAGACTCCGCAGAAGCTTACATTCCCAGTATCCCAAAAGCACCCTAAATCTTCCCCAATTGTAGATATTGACCTCACTTGATTATCAAGCCCCAAGGATGACAGGGAGAGGTTGCTGGCTTCTGCTTGCCCTCCTTCCTCCACATCCCAGCCCAATTTCAACTTGCTGAACGATGCTGCCATGTTCTCATACATTGAAGCATCCTCCAACCCTCCCTCATCCTCACCCATCCATGTGCTGAAGGTTCTGCAGAAGAAGCCACTCTGGCCTGGCAACTGCACATTTGGGGACATCTGCAGGGAAATGGCAGTGATCAAAAAGATGATACATGACGAGAACAAGGGCTTCAACACAGCTTTCTATGAAGTGTACCAGTTCAACGCCCCTTATGGGACTTGGGCCATGCATACCAGCTGGATTTGCAACCCATTGCTTGAGAAACTAATCAAGCAGTACAAGAAGCAACTGGATTCTGCTTGGAAAGAGTTCATGAAAGCTGCAAGGCATACAGTCCACCCGTCCTAGTAGTATCCCCTAGCTACTGTTGTTTATTGTCAATATAGTCCACCATTAATGTGTCATATAATGCTGATGCCTTGGACACCATTTTTGGAATGAATGTAATTAGTTGGCTACAGGTCTACCAGGCCAAATACAGCATAGTTGCCCTAGTGGACAAGTTAAAAAAATGAGTGGACAAGTGGGAGGTTCCTTGCAAGGTTCATTGCAGGGGAGATTGTCTCGAGTATTTATGTACATACTCAAGCCGTCCCATATACAACAAGTGCAGTGAGCAGTCCTGCCCAGCCCATTCCTTTGGCCTCCATCTCCTGCTGTACCTGCCTACAAGCTGCATCGCATGCAGCTGCTCAGATCGCCTCAGAGGACAGGTCCATGCATTGGTTGAGGGGAGTCTGGTTCGACAAGTGCACAGGCACATGCAAACCCACTGCGCCATTGGATATTGCATGTGATGCAATGTCCAAGCCCTTGGAGACATGCAGTGTCCCATAGTAAGGGGGGATGTGGTACTTGTGTGAGCCATAGCTGGGTGGGGAGACCTCAGATCCACCATTGCCTCTCATTAGGTTAACTCTGTCAATGTCTATCATGTGATTGATATCAGTACCCAAGGGAATACCAATGGGATGAGAGGTGCTGAAGCTGGTGTGGGTGGGGTGGGTGGGGTGGAGGGATGAATAAAGAGGAGGAGTAGTGGTCTCCCTGCTATCCACATTGCCCCTGCCCTCTGCTTCTGAGAAGTGGATGCAGCCACCTCCAGTGCCAGATGTAGTAGTGTTGGAGTTGGAAGTGAGAGGCTGGAAGTTGCTTGTGCCACCTCCGGTACCAGAGGTAGTAGTGTTGGAGTTGGAAGTCAGAGACTGGAAGTTGCCTGTGCCACCTCTGGTACCACCCCCTTGAGCATCCAGGTGGCTGGTTGGCTTCAAGATAGCACTTGATCTGACAAGACCAGCTTCTACAATGAATTCAGACACCAATCCACTTGCACCAACCCCATAGGACATACTAAAATGGGCTACAGCTGATCTGTAGCCCCTGTGAGCATGAGTGTGAGGTTTAATTGTCTCCATTGCGGGTTCAGCCATCCAACCCATTGCAGCAATTGGCCTGATAAGGGACTCAGGATGTGAGGTACTTGGTTTAGTCATTATCATGCTTACTTGAATGGATGATGAGCCTTCAGTTGCATGTTCTTGGAAGTTTGGTTTGCAAAGGCAAGAATCAAGGTGATTATTGAGTACAGAGTTGAGTACAGAGTTGAGGAAAGGGGTTGAGGCAATGAATAAGACTGATTTGGTCATTGCCTCTACTGGTGCCTGAAACAGTCCATGCCAAGCACTGTTCAGTGGGCACATATTGTTCATTGCCCATACATTGTTGTCATCATCATCAACAACAATACCTTCTGCTCATTGTCCTCACCTATGCTAGCTGGCAATCCAAGATATTTGACTACTACTATCACTCATGTCTCACCCAACCTGGCAAGGTCGACCTCTGACATCTTCCCAATAGGCGGCTGCACAATCTATGCTGTGCCAGCAGCAGTGGCCTCATGCCCTGCCTGATGACTTTACTGCCCACCCATCTTCTCTGCACTTGCTCGATGAGCATAATTCTGGGCCTCAAGGGGGCCTTGAGCCAAGCAAAGGTGCGATTCCGGTCTATCTGCTCCCATGCCCCTGTCCTTTACTCCTGTAACTCTGCAGGCTACACTTGCATTTCTCTCCTCCTCTCTTTCCTCCCTAACCACCATGGTTATGAGTTCATCTCCCCCTCCTTCCCCTTTATCCTACCATACTGTGCCATCCAACCCTATGGTGTCATCCCAAGATAACCTTCAACTTGTCAGCTCTGAAAAGAATGCGATTTTGGATGAGAACCTCTTGCACAAGACAGGCAGGGGGTTGCTCTTGATCATTACCTCTGTCCCCCAGGACAAAGGTAAAGGCAAGCATAAGGATATGTATGCATTGGAAGTGGTTGCTGGCAAGGGCAGCTTGTCAAAGATTATGGATCAGGCTGTGCTCAAGGAGGCGCTTGTCAACATCATTGAGCATGTGCAGATCAAGGCAGGGGGGGAAGTCCTTGTGAATGGGTACTCTCTTGTTGACTGGCTGAGGCATGGAGGTCTGCCCAAGGTGAGTGTTGGATTTGCAAGTGAGAGGCTGGTAGCACATACAGCCTACTGATCACTCTGAAGAACCTTGAGGACCATGTCACGGTCCATCAGGCAGCACTGCAAGATCTGGCACTAGTTGATGAGAATGATGAGGACATCCCTGTAGCCATCCCCACTGCCGTCCCCACTCCCATCCCCACTGTCAAACCCATGGCCAAACCCACCCCCACTGCAGTCCCAACCAAATGTCCTTGTCTTCTGGGTTCAGCCCTCACTGGCCCTATGGTTGAGGGACTTGAAGTCAAATGCACACCTCCTCATGATCTTGGTAAGCTACGTGAAGAAGAGTTTCAGAAGGAGCTCAACCACATCATGCTGCCTGCCTTCATGATAGGGAGGTTGCTCAAGGAGGTTGATATTGCACTGGAAGAGGAATGGAGTGAGGCCAAGGTTCATGTCTGTCATTTGGCCCAACACAATGAGGTGTGGACCTCGCATGTGGAAATGGGCAGGAAGTATCAGCAGGAGTTGTACAACACTAGCCAGTCCCAGTCCCAGTCTGCTGCCCCTGCACCCCAGCCTTCTGACACTGCCCCCAAGACTGACACCCAGCCTGCTGCGGGACCATATGGGAGTCAGCCTGCCATTGACCCCAGTAGCAGCCACAAGCACAAGCTGAAGCCCCTTTAAGCCCCACCTTAAAAGACTGTGGAGCAAGATAGGTCCTAAGATTAGATTGTTAACTGGCAAGTTCATATTTGCCAGTAACACTGTAATGGCTAACATCTGCTCTCAGAGAAGATTGGGGTGGATATCATGGAGCACTTGACAGAGGGTGGCATAGATCAGGCATTGAACTTGTGAATGTTTGCTGTGTTTCTGGAAAGAGTGTCTGTCTGTAGGTAGAAAGCATGCTGTAGGAGTTGTGTTACCCATGCAATGCATTAAGTACCTGTTATCTCCCCATTTCCAACTCCAACAGCATCTCTGGTACCGGAGGTGACTCCATTGACTCCCAGTCTCTCACTTTGAACTCCAACACTACTACCTCTGGTGCCAGAGGTTGCACAGTTGACTTCCAGTCTCTCACTTCCAACTCCATTTGATTTCTAACTACTTCAAAACCTACAACAGCATTGCAATAATAGTGGGTACAGAAAATGGTATCCTATAATAGCAACCTCATTGGGATGAGGTGTGGAAAGTGACCAGTGCGCTGCAGTTTCTGGACAGTATGCTCATTGCAAACCATGAAGACCTCATCTAGAAAAAACTTTTAGCATACTGCAGTCATCTCACAGATGAGTCCGGCAAATGGATGGACCCAAGAGTTCATTTGCTCACAGACCGATGAGTTGAAACACCATTTATTGGGGCTGGAGGCCATGTACAGTTCCTGATAGTTGGCTGGATTGCAGTGCATATTGCAATATGGATTGTTGCTAAGCTGATGTTTTGTTCTCCAGTGGAAAGTATCCACAACAAGCATTGTATGCTTGAAATGCTCGTGAACATCTGTGGATCGATTTGCCAGATGGCAACAAAGGTTGCAATTATTATCAAAATACAAGATGTCAGGCATTGACGCCTTGGTTGGGAATGTTTGCATAATAAAGTCCTGTACACATGAGAAGGAAGCCTGGAGCATGAAAGAGATTACCTACAATGATAGAACCTAGTGCCTCAGCACCATAAAAGGTGCCACAAGCCACTATGATCCAGGCATGGGCAAACAATTAATTGTTCATTGTGAATGTGATTTCAACCAAATTGCACTTGCAGGACACATTCCTTCTTCTCCTTCTTGGGTAGGTCTTTGAGCTTGATGAGCTGGTCGACGATGCTGTCCTCCATGTCCACCTCTACAATGGCTTGCTCATCCTGAGGTTGTTCATTGATAATGTCGGAAAACTGATCAACATCAGCTTTGTCCCACAATGGCCCCTGGCCATAGTAACATCCTACCCTGCTGGTGGATGCATCTACTATGACAAAGATGGGGATCCCATTTTTGGGATTGATAGGCTTCAGCACCAGGTAGTCTGTAGCCAGGAAAAGAATCTTCTTGAAACAAGTTTCATGCATAGGAGTTACATCATAACTCCTATTTTGGTGTGTCAACAAGGACAACAGCCCAGTGTATTTAGCTACATCTGGGAAATATGGTGCCAGATAGGTCACCATGCTGAGGAAGCACTGCATTCCTTGGGCATCCTTCGGGAACTTTGCATTCTGGATGACGGACATCTTGTCATCATCTGCGTAGACACCCTCATCCATGATCTTGTGTCCAAGACACTCAATCCTGGGAGACAGCAAGTCAACCTTGTCTGCAGACAAGTAAAGCTTCTCTTTT